AAAATATCAATTATACAGACCACAACCTAAAAAATGCACTAATTACAGTGAAATAAGGAAAATTAACATATGCCACTCAATTCTTATGTATTTACATATCTAACTCCAAAACTTTAGTCTTTATATAGGGCATCTTATCTATTCATCAGAAGATGTACTTTTAAGAAGTAAATTTGAAAAGTTAGATATGTAAATACACAGGAATTGGGTGACATGCAAGTAAATGCCCCTTGATTTTTCCATAATCATATTTCTAATGACAATTAAATGTATAAATACAAAATAAATTGTTTGCTTAATGTTTATAAAGCTAAATGGCAGCAACTTAATCTCTTACCCTCCCAAAGCTATCAACCCAAACTGAACCACCATAGCCGCTGTAATCCTCCACGGCCATTTCTTTCTACACACAAATCCTCAGGGCTAAATTCAGTCCTCCACAATATATATAGGAGAAAAATTAATGGAAAAAATTAATGTGTTACCTCTCAATCAGAAATGCAAAAGGAAGAAGGAAGATGGCTCCGACGAAGTTTCCGGCGTAGATGATGAAGAGAGAGCTGAATCCTAGGGCTAATACACGGTTGAGGAAGATGGTGTAGAAGCCATAGACTGCCTGGATAAGAAGCAAGCCGCTGATTATGAGGAAATCTTCAAAGAAAATTCCTCTCATGTATCCCATTATTTCTCTGTGCTTGCAAGTAATTACCACAACTGCCCTTATATAGAAGCCTAGGCCTCCCCCATGGCCCACCATTCATTGATAAAGATTAAATATTTAATCAAGATATTAAGAAAAAAGTAATCAGCATTATCGCGAGTTAGGAAGGGGACGGCGTGTAATTGTCGCTGTTTAGAGGTTGACAATAAAAAGGAATAATTTTAAAAAAATTTAATTAAATTAATATGTATGTTTGTATTAAAAATATTCACCACTTGTATCTATTTGGTAAATTAATTGATCAAATTTTTATTGCTCTCAAGATCACACACTTTTGGAAAAATATTACATCAGGACCCCTAACGTAGAGCTACGTTCGAGTCCACTGATATGCGGGCACGTGGCTTCAAGGAAAGGTGCACGGTTTCTTGTGATCCTTGTGATCCGGTCCGGTAACACGGGAGAATATTTCTCTGATGTTATTCTGTGTTATTCAAGTGTTATTGTGACGGTATTGATGTGTTACTGCGTTATTATAACATCGAGAGTATTCCCAGAACACAATAACACAAGAATATCACCACAATAATATTTGAATAATGTGGAATAACACAGAAGAAATATTTCTCATGTGCTAAAACGATTTTTATTTTTATTTTTCCATCACGTCCACGTGGCGTCATTTCATTGGACTCCGAACGTAGCTCTACATCAGGAGTCATAATGTAATATTTTTCCCACACTTTTAAGGTTTTGATCATATTTTAGAATTTATGAATTTAGTTTATTATAATTTTTTCACGTAATATAAATCTAGCAAAAAAATTTGTTTAATTGTAGTATAAATTTTATGTTTGTAAAATCATGTATATAGAAGCTAGATTAAATTGTGAGTTTAACTTATATTTTATTAAAAAAAAAAAAAAAGAAATGTGTTCCGCAATAAGTTTCAAAGTGAGAGTTCAACTTCTGATCTTGGAATTAGACTTGTGAATATTAAGTTATTATGAGAGTATTTAAAATTATCAATTAATTTATATATGAGTAATGATTATTAATTAATTTCATTTAAATTTGCAGAAGAAAAAAATTGTTTATATTTGCAAAAGAAAAAAATTGCAAAAGAAAAAGAAATAATTTTTCTGCACAATTTTTTTTTTTTTTGAAGAAATGATTTAATATTGATTTTCTTAATTATTTATATATATTAATTTGAACTCTATATTTTGAGTAAGATGAGTTGCAGTTTTGTAGATTTTAAAAAATAAAATCACAATAAACAATAAGAAGGATAACATAAAAACTATATATGATTAAATAAAATCGAGTGCATCTCAAATGTCAATAAAAAAGAAGAAGTAGTAGTACATCACACGACTCTAGCGTACATCTATGTCTTATTATGACATATGGCGTTTCCTAGATACCTATAATATAATAATTTAGAGCATGGTTTATCCCGTAAATGAAATTATCATTCCTCCTAAGGGGTAATTGCATCTTTTGTTTTTGTCACAATCCTCCCCGCTACAAATTTTATGGTTCCCATGTTTGATAAGTCAGGGAGTGGAGCTTTGTACATAAAAGATTCAAAAGCGATATAGGGGGGATGGTTTAGGGTCCACATGGATCAGTGGTTGAGCACATGCATCCTCAGTTGGAGCATCTTCTCTTGATTGTACATTTGAGAGGTAGACCAATCATCACATTCGACTACATATCTTTTCAAGTTTATCGATCACAACTTGTTTTAAATTGCCTTTATGACTATCAATAA